GTGGTGCACTAGCAATAGCTGCGTATCACTTTTTCAAAGCCTCTAATTTCTGTATCTCAAGCTACCAATGTGATAGAGAATAGCTCTGAATACTCCATAGTGCCAACGCATTAGCACAGGGGGGGGAAGGATAGCCTTATGTTTGTTAAAACATTTTAACTTTATTACAAATATTTAATAATTAATAACAATTGACTTATCAGGAAGTACTTTAATGCATGTATAAAATCATACTGCTGAGATCAGTACTTAATATACTGTATGATGTTATGCATTGTGGTTTAGTAGTAGTGTATCAATTTGTCTTTTCATCATCTGAGTATTTTTAAATACATTCATGCCTTAAAGTATCTAATTTATTTTTAACTAATAAAAGTGTTCTTAATTATTCTTAAAGTATTTGCCACCTTGATTTAACATTTTACATCTGCTACATCTATCTTCTATTAGAAGCAGCTACTACCATTCTGTTTTTACAGTGATTTGAAGCTGAATGTTGCAGGTTTTTTTGACATTACCTATGTTATGTGGTTCTCAAAAATCCTTTATCAGATTCCCTCCTTTAAACCAACTTTCTTTTTTGTGCTCAAAATTACACTCTCTAATTCATTTTTGTAAGTCACATTACTCATTCTACTGTGGCCCCCTTACATGACCCTTGCTCCTTCTGCAACATTCAGTCCATCAAGCTCACTGACATCTCTGCTACTCTGAGCCATTCCTTTCTCTGTATTCTCTCCGTTCTTTCAGCTCCATGGTTGCTGTCCTCAGCTCCCTTCTCTCCTCTCACATGGCTGTCACTTACTAAACACAAACCTCTCCTCTCACCTTATTATCCCTATTCCTGCACCATTCTACTGAGTGCCTCTGGAGAAAACCTCTTGATTATGTCAGCTTCATCCACTATACATTTCTCTTTTCTTATCCCATCCTGTCGTGACCCAAGAACTAAGCAGAACTTTTCCAATCTCTGTCAGAAGTTCTGGGAATGAGGTGAGGTTTTGTTGGTTCACCAGAGGCCAGGTTTAGTGACCTTGTAGACAACACATTTCCCATGGACTAGCTTCACAAGAGGATTTAAGCACCTAACTGCCATGTTAGGCTTCTACATCCTAGAATCATGCCGCATTGGGATTCACAAAACCCTGCTCAGCTGTCCCTGAATACTGTGGGCACCTAAACTTACTCACGGCCTACATTTTTGCTGTAGAAGTTCCCTAGATGCCTATTTTTCTGCCTATGAGCATGCCCACTGCAGCTCAAAGTTCCAGATGCCTAAGACTCAGAGCGATCTATGACCCAGGGGAAGATAGGAGTTCTTCTACCTAACTCCTCTGTGGGGCCTGAATCAGTAAGTGTTCTGGCTCTTTCTCACCCAATGATTTTTCCATTTTTTATCCAACATGGAACAGCGTCAACATTGGACAGAAGAAAGAGGGAGTATGAGAATGACTCCAGAGTCTGGTGGTTAAAGCGCTCATGTGTGAGACCCAGGATATGGTCCCCTGCTCTCATGACTTTAAAAAAAATATTCAAAGAAGATCAGCTTCAACAGGAGAGATTGAGAGATCCAGCATTAGAATATTGCATAGTCCAATAGTTAGGCCACTCACCTGGGAGGTGGCAGATCTTAGTTATATCCCTTCTCTTCTTTAGGTGGAGGGTATACTTCAGGTCTCCCACCTACCAGGTGACTACTATAATGACTGGCCTAAAAGTTATGAGGGAGCAGGACCTAATGCCAAAAGATGTTTGTAGCTGAGAATCTCAAGATCAGAGAGGCACCTCCCTGCAGCGCAGATTTAGGCAACAATGTCTGGTATGGAGCAGGTCTTAGAACATACCCCCTGCCTTGGCATTTCCCATTGGCTAGTTTAGGGGAGGGATTTCCTAGCCTGCTGACTTTTGTGAATCCCATTTTGAGGCTCCTATCTCACCCCATTTATTGTACAGGGAGCCTAAGCACCACATTTAGGCTGTGTGACTCCCAGTGATTTTCTAGGCACCTAAACGCTAGACATAGCATCACCGCACCTAAATTTTGTTGTGAATCTAATCCTAGGAGTGTGTGCTGGGGTTCTTTTTGGGCAGGGGACAGGTGTAACTCAACTGGAGGAAGCCTGGGAATGGGTGGCTATAACACAGGCAGCCACTTCCTGAACACCTCCTTCATGGGCAGAATTTCCTTTGCAGCAGCCTCCCATCTTTGCAGCAGTTCTCCATCTTCAGGGACCCTTAGGAACTTGCTGGTCCACAGGTAATTTGAACAATCCTTACAAAGGATCCCATTTATTTTATCCCCTGGGCATACTCTGGCCCTCCAAGCCCCAACCCTAGTTCATTGTCTCTCTCCCGGTAGTCCAAAAGAACAGAAAGTCTTTGAAATAGAACAAAACTCTCACAGTCCTCATGCCACTTTCAGCTGAAACCCTCCCCTCTGAGAGTGAGTCTGCTTCCCGGTACTTCCTGCCTAGAATTTGTCCTTCTTCACAGGCTTTCTCAGCTGGTGCCTTTCCACTGCTGACTCAGGGCCTGCAGGTGCCTTCTTACTACTCCCTGCATGTCTATACACACAACTGCAACTTCCTGCTCCTTTTATACTGGAATTACATGATTCCTCTCAAGTGGAACTCATTCTGTTACCAGAGTTGGCTTAGCTGCAAGCTCTCCAACCTATGGGACAAGTCTAATTTAAGGATTTGTGATGGGAAATGTGGTTGTCACATAGGATGCTAAGGAGAATCTCTTCTTTGTTGTTATATTAAACTGTGGGATTATTCTGTTTGTGGGTGGTAGTGTTTGAGGGTTTTGGACTACTCATATTTTATTGTTCTCAATTCTTTTTATACAGTGCTCAAGAACATCAGATGGGCACTTTATAAACAGAAATAAATTAGAGTTCCCTTTATGCTATGAAAACCCCTTTGGAATGTTTGTGCTTGAAGAGAAGACAAATGAAGGTCTGGACAATCTGTTGCTCATTCAGACAAAACCAGTTTCTCTTAACTATAACGAGGGAATTAAACAAACAAATTCTTAAGTTCTCTTTGCAGGAAATGTTCCTACTTCTGTCCCTGCTAAATAGTCTGAGTATACGATAGCGCTGTGTTCAGTGCTCACTGTTTGGTACAGAGTGCAGTGTGTAAAGACTTTCTAGTGTGTTCCCAAAAGAGACTGTTTGTGCTTCAGGAGCACTTTTCTGAGCTTCAGGGATAAAGTATCTCTGGTAGAAATGATTTAGCAGTACCTAGAGAAGGGATAAACTCCAACAGAGGATGGCTAAATCACCACAACCTTCAGTTTGGTGGTAGAATTTGTAGTTCTGGAGTATAAAAATGCATGAAGTAGTTAAAAATAATGGTTCTTATAACGTTTGGAGCACACTTCCAGCAGCATCTCAATGTAAATTCCAGTATTGTTGTATTCAAGTTTATTTCCATAAATAACCCTTTAGATGTCCCATGACTAAAGGAAATCAGAAATCTTCAGGTTCTGTTTAGATACTAACAATGTCATTAATGTAGGATGGTAGAGTTTAAAACCATGGGTGTCTGAGGCAAAGCATCTAAACTACAAAATAGTGGCAATTGAAAGATCATCATTACTCTTACAGTCCTAAGAAGTACCTATATCAGTGTTCCTCTGTTGAGTGTTTAGCATTATCTTAATTATTGCTGGTAATAAGGGCTATTCATACCCTAATCAAACTTTAATAATTTTAAAGTATTTTGTCAGTAATATTAATTTTATATACAACCCTGTTAGTGTTATGTTCAGGAAAAGGGGTAAAATAAGGATGGATGGATGTGTATAAAATAGCCATGATTGCATAAAGGCAATGTGTATATAATGTACATTAAATAATTGCTGATCATTTTTGAGACAAAAACTTTACCCCATTATTGTCAGTTTCTCTCTCCAACCAATCAAATAGCAGTTCTTGGAAATAAATATAATTAGGCTTCTAAGGATTAGATTTTTATTGGTAAATGTTAGTGAAATCGATTTCATTGTACACACACAACTGGGTTGTAGAAAAAAATTCCATTGACAAATTACAGAAATTGATGATAGGCAAAGTAAGAAGATGCTGCTTGAGAACTTATTAGAGTTTGATTTAAGGACATTTACTCTGTATATTTTGATATGTGATATTGACAATTTGTGTTTTAATGGTCACAAAGCTTTAACCTTTTTGAAATCAATATCTACTGTCATTGAACAATTTTCTGACCTGCTCTGTTGTCTGACGCCCCAATAATTGCCTGCAACTGTGAAAACTGAAATTGATAAAAAAGCATAAACCCCATAATTTTGCACAACTGTGAAAATTTAAATAGATACAAATAGAAAAATGTTTAAAAATAAACATTATCTGTTGAAATGATTAAAAAAAAAAGAATTCTGCCATGTCTAAGTATAATTTAAATAATTATAGTAATATTGTATGTACTCAGATTTATGTTCTTTTCCCTTTAATTTCCCTCTTTAAAAGTCTACCTTATGTTTGAACCATATGAATTTGGGTTGTTGTTTTATTTTTATAATACCTAAAAATGTGCTAGATGTTTGTCAGACATATAATAAAATGCATACCTGTCCCCAAAGAATTATACTCAAAACAGACAACATATCATGTAGATTACAGACAAAAGAGTAGGGATTAGATGCACAAATTGATTATGTGCAAACACTTTCAAGAAACAGAGCTGACCTTGTTCTTTCATAAAATATGTAGGTACTTTATTGTTGTGTGTTCAATAAAAACCCACACCCCAAACTATATCTATATAAAACATTGGTGTTTGCCCCCTAGAAATGTTAATGGGAGTTTTTATTTTACTTTAATTTATAACTTATTTTATCTTAATGGGAGTTTTTATTTCTTTTGGACTATATGTCTATATGCTAATAAATAGATATGCAAAGAAAAGCAGATGATCTAAATTTGAAATTTCCGTACAAAGGCTCATTACTGCTATTTTATTCTTTTAGTTCTTTTTGACTGAATACGTATGTGCATGAAGATTAAGAGTCTGACAGCATGGGAAGCTAAAATCCTCCCTTTGTCTGTTTTGGTTTAGCAGACCACCACACATTGAACTTTCTAATCAGACGACCAACCCTAACTTTGATGTGGCAGGATTGCCATTGGAAGAAGTGAAAGGTAATTCAACTTTGCTTCTTTTGGTCAGTGTTTACTGTGCAAAATTATACCAGTCTGGTTGTTATAGTATGTATTACCTAAGCAAAGACCATGTCTTTTATTTTTAACATCTTGTGAGGCATACAATGCCATAGAAGTGAAAGGGCAGTGCATTGTCTGTTACGTTTGACTCATCTTTAATCATCCATCATATCAAAGTGATTCAACTCTTAGCAAAATACACACTTAGATCTGGAGCATACAGTGTGCCTGCTTGAAATATTTCACATTCTGAGTTTGTGGGTCACATGATGCATATGTGATTTGTGTAGTTTCAATGTTTCCTTGTATGAAGAAAATGAAATTTTCTATTTTCACTCCTCCTGTTAAAGCATGTTAGTTATGTTAGGTTCTGTCTGAAAAAGTTCTACGTGTTCCTTAAAATTCAAATATTATCTCTAAATCTGCAGCAACTGCTGAGATAAAATTGTAGAAATGCTGACTTTCATTTCATTGTCTGGCTTTCAGTATACTTCCTAACATTTGGCAGCTTTTCCCCATGTACCAGCCTCATTTTATAGCCCTGCTGTTATGTTCTTGAACTTTGTCATGACTATGATCCTAGGGCATCTGAACTGTCAGATATAAAAGTGGGAAGAGAGAAAGAGGGTAGGAGAGTTGTAGAAGGCGAAAAGCTTAGTAACATGCTGATGAATTTCCTTCCAGCAGATAGTTTTCACTTTGCCTTCATTGCTGTCACATTTCCTTAAATAATAGGAAGACTTTTCCACTAATGGGCAATGGAGGCTGTTTGCCTGATGAGAACTTGCAGAGGCAGCCTGCCATGTGCCTTTATCTTTTAAACTGAGGTGAAACAAGCTTGCCTGGCTGCAGATAAGCAGCTTAGAAGCAGTCCTATTCAGATGTACCTGTCACTAATTTATCTAGGTTTTTTTGTATTCATATATACTGTTCTATGTGCAGTGGAGCATTAAATTGCTTTCCACTGGGAGCAGGTCACATTCAGGGGTCGACAGAACCATGCTCCTGGATGAAGAATACTTGATTCATACAGGCTGTTTCTATCGAGATCTTGGCAGGTGAATTCTCTATCTAATTAGAGATTTTACACAGGCTTTTTACTGGAAAAGCTGATAACGTTTTAATATAATGTAGATAACCATTAAGAACCTTTTCAGCTGCACTGCATTTATGTATGTTTTACAAAGCAAAATGAGCTGCTGCTGAATATTGGTATGTCTGGATTGACAAAGAAAATTAATCACATTCAGTTTGCTTTAGTGACACCCATTGTTGTGGTAATTGTGTAGTAAAGATAGATTACACTTCCAGTCAAATGGTAGCAAGCTTCCCATTTTATTTTATTTGTTCAGTTTTGATAAATATTCTTTCATGCATCTTATTAGCTAAGTCAAACAAAAGAAATAGGACTTAGACTATTTTTAAAATATCAAACTGGAGACCAGCCTAAAATCTCCCTGAATCCCTCTTGCTGAAAGTGTTTCCTTCTGCATTTTGAGAGATGTTCATTTCAGAAAGTCACAGTTTGCATGAAGACAGTTGAAACTCATAACATGTTTGTGTTTGGAATGTATTTACTCTTAGAGTACTCTTAATAGTTGTGCAACATCATTTTTGTCAGTGTTGGGTATTGCTAGGAAGGGGTAGAAATGTGAAACTTCAAGCTATTGTCTTTGCTATTGCTTCTCAACTGTTAAACTATGCAAAATTAACAAACAAACAAAAAAAGGCAAAGTGGTTGGTAAATGAAAGCAATAAGAGTGATGTTTCTTGCATGTTGGTAGTTTGCAATGACGTGTCTTTTATTAAAAATAAATTTGTAATACAATGCTTGTTTTTTTATTGAGAAGTGAGCAGTATCTACTCAGATGCAGAGCAAAGCAAATTTTTTAATTTCTTACACTAGCACAAGACAAGTTTAACAAAACTAAAAGCGGGATTTAACACTCCATTGACTGAAAATCTTGTCTTTGGTTCTCTTTTCTTTGGCAGGAATATTTTACATCCAATATAAAGCAATTGTCTTTTTTATGATATTAATGAATATGAGCATATCACAAAACAACCTATTGGATCAGTTTTGCAGAACTCACAGTATTTAAATGAATCATCATAGATTCTAATCTGTAAATTGGACAATGACCTCAAACCTTGTAAGACTGTCTCATAAACAGTGGTGCCAAACACAGTATGTACATTTCACAACATTTAATTGGAAAGGTAACACTTCCTGAAATATGTATATTCCTCCAAATTGCATTCTCTTTAGTTAGAACCTGAGAGGTTTAACTACTGAACAGAAAATAACACAAAATAGACCTTTCCTTTGAAGAAAGCAAAATATCCAGTGGAAAATCCACTCAAGTTTGCAGTGTAAATTATTGTCTTTCATGCACTTGGATTCAGTTGGTAACTAACAATGAATCTGTACTTTGTACCCATGAAATTAATGTTCAGAATTTGAAAGTCAACTCATAAAATGAGTTACCTAAGTCAAGTATTTTTCTGTTCCCTTATTGAAGAAACCTACATTAGAATCAAGTTTCTGGTGGTTATGCATGTGTAAAATGAATTAAAAGCCATAAGTATTCTTGAGTACTTAATTTAAATTCAATTTTGGTGACCATCCCTATCCCAGAAAATTTGTTCATTTGAAAATTTGTGGAAAGTAAGCTGGAAATGGGTACAAACACAATCAAAGTCCTGCCTTGAGTGCAGGGGACTAGATTAGGAGACCTCTCAAGGTCCCTTCCAGTCGTATGATTCTATGAAAGCAAATCCAGTTAAAATGGATTCATTTTGAAGGAAATGCTTCATTTAGTAGGAGTTTTAAACCTCTAATTCCCCCTTTTTTTTTTTTAAATCAAAACAAAACAAAATGAAGAGCAATTTAAACCAAAGTAAAAATCAACAAAATTGGCAACATCCTGTTTTGTCGTCGTTTTCTTTTTGTTTCATTTGCAAGTTTTTGTTTTATTTTTTTGTAAAGAAAAGGGAACCGATGGTTTAAATTTAAAATTCCTACTGAATGTAGCACAAATCTCTGATAATCTCTCCTGTAATGAAATGTTTAAGAACACTTTCAGTTTTCTTCTTTGTGGAATGTTTTTATGTTACTGGATTCCAGTGCCTGAAAATGGGAATGAGTACATACCTTGCATGCTGAAAAGCCTTTTCAGTATTCCATAATGTTGTTAGTTACTCACTGCCATTCTCTTACATTTACAACTTCAGTTAAATGTGAAGTGATGGAATGGCCAGCCAATTAAAATATTATAGATATAGAATATTTAAAAGGTCAAAAGTTCAGTGCTGTACTATAACAGGATATAATTATTCATTATCAGTTTGATATTTTAGTCTTTTGGCAAATAATTTAATAAGACGTGGAAAAGAGAGACTATAAATCTACTGCCATAGCAAGAAAGGCATGAGCAAATGGAATTCCCAAACTAAACAATTTGTAAATTCAGAGCTAATTTCTCCTCAGCTCTGGGTAGATAGAGATGTAGCTGGTGGAGGTCATAGTTATGAGCATGCTTTTCCCCTTCATATTCCTACCTATTGAGGGAGCTCATTCAGCAGCATCACGTTTAAGAACCTTGGTATCACTTTTGACCAAGCCTTTCCATGGAAAGCCACATGTCAGCTATGAGAATGTTTTGCAATTTGGACAAGCTTTGTCCTTTCTTCACCCATAATGGTTTTGCAAAAGCAACATGTTCTTGTGAACATACAATTTTGTATGTAATGTATTGTAATTTTAGCAGAGTTTATAGAACAGGGTTTATAGAACAGAGTTTACAATAATTTATGGCTTGTTCAGAATTCAGAAGCATATTTGCGCACTGGTTTAAGCAGCCAGGATTGTCCTATGCCTGTCCTGTATCCTTTACAATGACAGTCTGTAAAGCCTTACATGTTGTAAAGACTCTAGCCACATCCTAGTTCTGCTCATGAAGCTCTGCCCTAACAAGTGTATCTGCTCAGTTACCATGAGCTCTTTAGGAGGTATCTCATTGTTGTGTCAGAGGAAGGCAAGTAATCAGGCCTTTGTTTTGGTGGACTGCAGAATGTTAAACCCATTCTCTCCTTACATCATACAGAACAACCTCCTACCATCCCCCATCCCCCCCCCCCCATATGTGGCCAAATCAGCTTCTGCTGAACAAAACCAAACCTCTTTTCAGCATTCATGGTTGTGAAAACCGCCTCCGTCAAGTGAATAATACAATGCTGTTTTCCTGATTCAGCAGACAGAAACAGTAGTTTCAGACGTGAAATTCCACACCCCATTCATCTCAGGGGATATGTAAACTCTGAAGGCTAGTGGCAACAATGGTCAATATTTATTATTATAATAGTTATAGCTAAGATTTGTAGAAGAAGCACATGGCTATTTTGGAACTGTGACCAGTGTTTGGTATTGAGTAGTTTATCACCATTCTGAATTTTCCAAAATATCTCCTTTTCCTACTTGCAATTTGTTCCATTATAATTCTGATATTCCTTTAGATGTGAAAATGGCAGGTCTGTTTATTTGTTCAAAATTTTAAGAATGTACTTTTTGGTTTGAAATTTTTCATCGTTTTTAGAGGTTTGGGTATAGTAGCTGTGTTTCCAAACACTTCTCTGTGATTATATATGTTTACTGTTATTGTAAAACTGAAGACTTCCCCTATAAGTGACTCACCTTTTACTAAAAAAAAAAAAAGTTGACATAGTCATTGGTTAGAGGTGATGCTGTTATCCCCACAAAGAGTTGGGTACTTTGATAATGTTATGTATTTACCACTGGAAGGAATATCACCATAATGTTCAACAGTAATTCATTACAATTCCCGAAAAAGCTAACTCTGGTGCTGTAATATTGGTGCTTCTCCAATTAGCTGCTTTCTTTATGGAGTCAGTAGATACATTGTGCAGGTGCCATGTTAACGAAATAAAGGGTGAAACGTTTTGCTGGATCAGAGTCCTGC